GAGCGACCAGGAAACTGCTGACCTGGTAGATTTGTGGGGCCAACCCGAGCTGAGAGACCGGATATAAAATAAAAAAACAAACAACAAAACGGGAATTTTTGGCGTGCTTGCTGACAGATTAGCCAGTCTCGGACATGAGAAGAGAACGACGGCCCAAATTCAAACAAAAGTGAAGGCATTGCGAGCCCTATACAAGCTGATAAAAGATCAGTTGAAGAAGAGTGGTTTGGGCACGTCTGGTGTAAAATCTTTGATTGCGATCCACCCAATCACACGCGCGTATATCGAATCCCGTGAAACAGAGTTGGCCAAACTCTCTCTTTAGGGCTCTGCTGTTTCGACTTTCATAATTTAGAGGTCAATCCAACAAGTGTGACCGACCCAGAATTTCGAGCCTGGCTTGAAATCTCACCAGCGGTGAGTCAAGCCAGGCTTAAGACGCTAGTGTGACCGTAGCCTAAGTAGGCGACATCTTCTTACAAAAGTCAAGCAAGACCCGAGAACAAAGAGTACGTGGACAGTCGATGGGAAAGTGATGGCAACGGTGGAAAAAAATTCAGGGAAGTTAAACTACCCATTCTTACATCAACTGAGCTAAATAAAATATATTAACTTTAATGTGTACTAATTTTGAAGCAAATTTTCATTTGTATTATTAAATTCATGCTGCTCATTGACTAATTATATGGATGTCAGTTTTGTCTATTAACAAAGTGAGTGTTTGTGAGTGTTATATGAAACCTGAGACAATCTTGTCTTAGTTTAACCTTTATTAGTCTTAAGTCTATGTGGCAGCATGTCTTTACATTAAATTGATGTTTTGAAAGTAAATCCAATAGTTCGAATAATTCCAATTTACATTCGTATAAAACTAAAGGCTCCATAGGGTTTAATTGCTTTGTGATCTTGGTATAGGATTTTAGTGACTTTTTACTTTTGTCTATTGTAGTATTGCATTTACCTTGCGCCCTTTTCTCTTTACCTTCAACAAAATGAATGGTAACGTTGATAATAAAGTTAATCTCTTTGACATCAAAACATTCTGTTCAAAAACCTCATAAATTTGATGACCATTAAAAGTTTGTTTTTTTTTTTTTGTTTTTTTTTATTTTCTTTTTGATGTTCTGTCTTAATATGGTCCTTGTAAACCTCATTCTTGTTTCATTTTTTCTTGTCTCCTTTTATCTTGTCTGTTTTTCCTTTTTGGTTTTCCGTTACCTTTTCTTTAAAGTTTTTTTTGTATGTTTTCCTTCTGCGCATTGCTCTTTTCCTTTCAATTTCTCTTTAAATTGATTATGATGTATACTGCAAATTGTTTTTTGGTGATGTTAAATTTCCTTTGTATTTTGTTGTCTTTTGATTTGCGTATGGAAAGAGCAAGAAAAAAAAACCAAACAATCAACATCATTATCATAATCATCATTATAATCTATAATAGTTAGTTTTGTTAATAGTACATGTGTGTACAATCTAATCTTCGAAAAACTTCTATCAAAAATATTATAAGACATAAGATATAGCGTAAAACATATCATGTTTTATGGTATGTCTTTTGACATGATTCAATAAGACTAAAGGTAGCTTATGCATTGCTTATCTTGCTAGATTTTTAACAAAATGACAGTATTTAAGCCAATATTTACAGTAAACCATTTTGTACATAAAATACAACTATAATACTAATACAATAGGAAATATTAAAATATTGTCATCTTACACATCTAGATGTGTATAAGAGACAGCTTAGTTGTGTTAATAGTACATGTGTGTACAATAGTTAGTTGTGTATAATATATATAACAAATCAAACAAAAATATTCAGTATTTTGTTTAGTTAAAAGTATTTAGTTTCATCATTTTAAAGTTAAAACCAGGAATTTTATACGCAAACACCTTAACCAACTGGGTCCATGGCGTTTTCTTTAGAAGTTTAAATCCGATTGGAGGCAACTTTCAATATCATTATTGTATAGATGACAAATATTCGTTTTTGTAAAGCTAACATGAAACCTAAGTACTTTCTCAGAACATTTCGATCCCTATCAGAGATCTTTATCAACTGACAATTTTTTATGTGGTTATTACTATTTACCCCTTTAACAGCGTGACTTCAGTGTAAGATACTGTAACCAAAAATCGTAAAGCGCCACGCGGGGTGCTATACTCAGCGCTTTACGATCTGTGGTTACAGAACATTGACGTCACGTTGCTAAAGGGGCAAAATCGTAATGGCCTATAACTTCGTAAAAAAAAATTGCCAAAAAAACGATTTTAAAGTTGATTCTATTACTAGTGACATCACCTCTACAAAAAAAAAATAATCTTTCTAGGTTCCTTCTAACTACTTCTATCCCTTGGGCGTTTTATTGAAGTTTGAATCCGATTGGAGGCAACTTTCAATATCGTTATTGTAGAAACAAAATTCAAAAGCTTCCTTATTGATTGATTGATTGATTGATTGATTGATTGATTGATTGATTGATTGATCGAATGATTGATCGAATGATTGATCGATTGATTGATTGATTGATTGATTGATTGATTGATTGATTGATTAATTGATTGATCGACTGATTGACTGATTGATTGATTGATTGAATAATTACAGCAAAAATGGAATACAGTAGATCTCAATAGGCTATTTTTTAAAATATTTTTGTTTGATATTCAATAAAAAACTATTATCAATATAGGTATATATATATATATGTATATATATATATATATATATATATATATATATATATATACTGTAAAAATATAAAATTTCAGTGACACTATATAATATTTACAAACGAGAACATATGTATAAAATATTTATATTTATATAAAATATTATTTTCGCATTTTTTATTGTAAGCCATTCTCAGACTATTACATTTTATTTGACAAAGCATGTGACGTGCCTAAGATACGGTCATGACGGAATTACATCATAAAAGTTTAAAAACTATATTATAGTCATACAACATTATTTGGTCAACGAAAATTTGATAATCTGGACAGAACTTAAGAACTGTTGATCAAATCAAATTCTCACTGTTTGAAGTCACCATAGAAATATTCATCTTCAGGCATTTCATCCTCTACAACTTCCAGGTATACAACTGGCGATTGCTCTCCATCTTTTTTGCGGTTTATCACGTTATACTGAGCGTTAAAACTCACCTCGTTTTGACTGTTTAAAGTGTCATATTGAAGGTCAAGACTATCAAACGAAGGATTATTAATTACAGTTTCAGGTTTCAAATTATTATAAACATCACCCTCTACGACAGTGTAATTCGGGTTATGGTACTTCTGCGCAGTGTGTAGGCCTACATTGTCTCCTGGTAAAGAAGATTCATAGGTCGGATACAGGTTTGAAGGTTTATCATCATGGCTTTGCTGATCCACTTGGGTTGCTGACACATCTAAGAGGACAAAAACGTTATAGAACATTAATTACAAATTGTAAAATAGGCCTAAAGTGTGCATGTCTATGTAAAAGGTGTAGGCTCGTGTATTGTTTGATGAACTTTTTAAAATTAACACGCCATCGTTAAGTCAAAATGTAGTTATAGTGTGTCAGTATGATTATATTATTTATGTTTGTATATCACCAATATTATTAAGCCCATTATTTTCATCATTTTCGTTATTTCCATCATCATTGTCATCATCATCATGGTCGTTATAATCATCATCAATCTAATTATTACCGGTATTAATGTTATTATAGCTAATATCATTATGCATATATTAATCTTATTTACACATGTACTACGCATTTATAGGATGGTGGTTCCTAAATTTTCCGAGCACCTTAATGGTTTGTTTAAATTAGCAATTGGTCGTGGCGATAAATGTCGGCTATTAACATGATAATTCTGTTTATAATAGTCTTAGTTGGTTTACATATTATTATAAAATTCTTAAAATCTGATGATTTTTTTAAATAATTATTATAAATAAAAGAATCATTTAACAATATACAATTCATATAATGAATATTTATTTCCTAATTTTTTGCTAATTTAAGGAGGTGGTTGTTTACTCATAACTATTACCGTACAGCATATAAAATACAAATATAACGATTAGCAAGTATCCATGTATCTTTTGTTTTAGAGGACTCGCACCTGGTGCACCCTTTGTGGAGGTTCGTCTTTTAAGCAATAAGATTACTAAAACAGCAATACAAACGACAGCTACTGCTAAAGCAATTGATAGGCCTATTAGTGTAACATTCGACATCTTAGATACATCTTGTTCTGACTGCCGCGTAGAAGTAACACCACTTGACTTCACTGTTGGGATTTCATTGTGGGTAAGTATCTTGACCGGTGGTGTCGTCGGTATGTATCGTGTTAGCTCTACATGAAATAATTATAAATGCTTTCTTACTACGGTACTTAAAAATAGTCACATGTATATAAAAAGTAAGTAGCAGTACACTTTAAATAATAGTAAATAGAACAAAATCAATAGAATCATTGAATATATATATATACATTATATATATAATTATGTGTGTATGTATCATGTATGTATGTGTATATATA